ATATAGTTGAAAATGTTACATTGTTTCTCGAGTTACATGTTTGAAAATCAATTAAAATATGATGACCAAATGATTTGTCTAACGCCTTAGGAATATTAGTTATTATCTGAGAAAACAAGTAGTTTTGAAAAGTGTAAACAATTAAATTTGTGATTTCATAACCTTTTGTTATGTAGTGTTGAAATCCTTTCTTTGAAAAAGTAGTGTTTGTTTTAGAAAAATCCAATATTTTCATTGTAAAATGAGTTGTAGACTTAAAACCCAAAGACCCAAATGTAAAAGTATTTTCCATACTTATATTAGTATATGCAGCTTTAAATAACATAAAACCGTTCGAGTGAATGAAACCCCGCAAACTATATGTATCATTATTTCCCTATGTGACTTATTATAACCATGCTAACAACATAGATGGCATGTAACGACATTCTTCAGGCATCAGAATGTTACGACATTTGTCACCCCATACCTGCCAGTCTAGCTGTTGCAAGCAACTTAGGTGCGGGATTGTCAATCCCAATATAGATCTATACACAATTATCACGCTCTCCCTACAAAAGACTCTGGTTATAATACAGGACTTGGTAAGTATACTAGTGTGTACTTGAAGACTTGAGCTCATAAATTTGATTCAACTAGTTTACATGTAGTGCGAATGAAAAAACCTTTTTGTAGTGGAAATGAAACCTTCCGTAGTGAATTCGTAGTGTTAATGAATCATAAACTATATCTATTATAGTTTATCGTAAATGTTTGTAGTGATGAAAATCCTTATGTGTATGATTACTAATTTTTCATGAAAGTAAAATAACATGGAATGTAATCAGTATGTATTTCTATCATATTACACACTTTGCTCAACATGTTACAAAGTGTAGATAAATCCATAACCCACTTTTCTAGTTATAACGTTCATGTTCACGTTTTTCGAAAAATTATAGAAAAATCATCGTAAGTCGAAATCTAAATCCGTAAACTTTGAGTTTTTATAAAATGAGGATAATTTGTCCCTAATTTTTATGATGGACTTTAGAAGTCTCTAATCAGTGTGAAAATGTCCATTTTCACTAATTGGTCCGAAATGTATTCTGAAATGACAGGTTGTTTTGTAAAAATTGCCATAAATTGTAGAAAAATCATATGAACATGTGCAAATAGTCCTTAGAAAGGTATAAAAATGAACTATTTTCATATTGAATAGTTTTCAAAAAAATTAGGTTTAAGATGGTCAAAACAGTCCGTGAACAAGACACAACTTTTTCATGGAGAGATGATGTTTAAGTTTAGATTGTGTTTTAGTGTTGTAACTTGTATCCCCCATCCCCCTAAAATTTGAAGAAAACATGAAAATATAGGGGGTATGAACTCACCTTATGTGGTTGCTTGGTGAGTGGTAGGCGGAGGATGTCGAGTTTTCAAGTCACGAGCACTTGAAGAACACTTAGAGGTTTTGATGATCCTATGAACGATAATGTGTGAATATGTGTGCAGGCGATTTGAGATTATTATGGAAATATGTAAGAGTATAAGAGTTAGAGGAAATACTTACTAAAAAGTGAAGAAATAACTCAAGAACACTTCAAGAATGTGGTTGAAAGAAGAGATAAGGTGAGAGCACTTTTATGGAGAAAAAGCGAGTTTTTGGAGTGAAGTGTAGAAATGAGATTGAAATCTCCTCAATGTGGGTTTTATATGAATTTGAATAGAATATAATAATACAAGTGGATTCGCCTTGATATGTCTAATGGATAATGATTTGACCAATGCGAATTGAGGAAATGACATAAAGGTGGCAAGTGGAGATCCATTTTACCCACTTGTATAATATAATATCTATTTACCCTTAGATATTTCTTTATGTAAAAATATGATTTATAATTAATAAATCTTCAAGTTGTGGATAAAATATGAGTTTAGTGGGTCTAAGATGTGAAAAATATGAGTTGGGTGAAAATCCACCGTCAAAAACTCAAAAAACTGATGAAAAATGCGAAACTAAAGAAAATTTGGAACTGAGAGGTGTACTTACGAAGGCTGCTGATGATCCGAAAGTATTGCTGCGAATGCAAAATTCACTACCAGCGAAGGATTCGGTTCGCATGCAAGAGCTTAGAGGTTCATAGCGCAGGTCTCGGTCAACCTCGTAGCGAAGGTCTTTGGTTGCATGCGAAACTCGTCGGTGTAAAAGTTCCTGGCTCGGTCCGAAAGGCTAAGATGCGAATCTTCTCGGTTAGAAGCGAATGTGTCCGATTAGAAACGAAAGTGAGGTTTCACATCGAGAGGTTTCGCATCTGATAGGTTTCGCATCCTGAGAGGGTTTCGCTGCGAGAGAAGGGTTCGCTTCTTGAGAGGGTTCTCATTTTTTAGAGGGTTTCACATCCAAAGTGTTGTTTTTCATAATAACTTCCCGTTTCGAGTGGTTTTTGACCAATTTAAGGGTTGGGACGGTACGGGTGTTTATAAAAAAGTTGAAAGAGAAATTGAGAGAGATTTTGAGAAATATTTGGGGGAGAGAGAGAGAGAGAGAGAGAGATAGAGATAGATTGAGAGATACTATGTGTGTAGCTTTTTCTAGGGTTTTGCGGCATAGTGTTAGGATTATAAACTCCACTACGCCTTGTTATGAGTGTTGTACATCCCCTAAAAATATGTAATGGAGTTTTATCGATTTGTTACGTTACTCACCCTGTTTAGGGTTTAGGTTTTTTGAACATATGGAGCTTCTGAGTGATACTTTGTGTTAAGATAGTAAGTTGTACATTAGAAAACATAGAGTGCGCCCTAATATACAAGCACTAGTTGAGTTGACGGATTTGACTTGTTGACTTAGTCTTAAGGGGGTTCCTATGGCACCCTGTGCAAGACCTTGGAGGGTTTCCAAGGCATCCTTATATGTTTGTATGTATGGTTTATATGGCAGGTAGTTAAGACCATTTAGAGGTTCCCATGGTAGTGGGCTAAGACCATGAGGGGGTTCCTATGGCACCCAGTGTAAGACCATGGAGGGTTCTAGGGCATCCTTATATGTTTGTAAGTATGGTTTATATAGCAGGTAGTTGCGACCATGTGGGGGTTCCCATGACAGTGGGCTAAGACCATGAGGGGGTTCCTCTGCCACCCGGAGTAAGACCATGGAGTGTTTCCATGGCTTCCTTATATGTTTATATGCATGGCTTATGTGATTGATATGACTTATGTGATTAATATGGCTTATATGATTGATATGGATTATGTAAATGATATGAATTATATGATTGATATGGCCTATGTGATTGATATGGTTTATGCGGTTATGTGGATTATGTGGATTATGCGGGGTATGCTCTAGGGATGACAATTCTCGACACGACCCGTGTCACGACACAAAATAAATGGGTTTGGGTTGAGTTTTTCAATCCGCCAACCTTTTTATTAAACAAGTCATATATGGGTTTCTCAAAAAATAAACGGGTTGATCCGCCAACCCGTTTATATTCTTAATATATATATATATATATATATATATATATATATATATATATATATATATATATTATTTTTAAATATATTTATATATCAAGTATTAATATTTAATAAGTATTACATAATATATATCATTGATTCATAGACCATTTAACTTTTTTGACATTTTGACTCATGGTGGATGGTCTAAGGTCGTAAGTCGTAACTTATAAGGATAAATTTGTAAAATGTTTCTATGAATGTTTTTAATTTTCATTTGGATGCATAAGACTTAAATGTCTAAAATTTCTATATGTTTGCATCAACCATCAATAATTTATTCATGTTTAATTGTCAATTTTATTTATAGAACCTGACCCACAAACCTGCCAACATATGAACCCATATAAATAAATGGGTTAATGGGTCATATATGGGTTTATGTTCCAAACCCGCCAACCCATGACATGTATATTTAAATGGGTCATGTTTGAGTTTGCATATTTTGACCCTCAAACCCGCGACACGTCAACCCGAACACGACACAATTGCCAGGCCTAGTATGCTATGGGGAACTTACTAAGTTTTGTGCTTACAGTTTTGTTTATTGTTTTAGGTATCATCGGTTTGGAAAGGAAGGGCCCAGCTTGATCGCAACGCACACACCCGTGTTTTCCGTAATATTTGATTTTGGGATGAACTCTGATAAATGTTTTTAATTAGCAATGTTTTTGGAAAGCTTGGATTTAAAAGACATATGTGTTTTGACTGTAATGAAAAATGAAAAAAAAAATACCCTTGATTTTTGGATCATTACAGTTCAACGTCCCTGTTAAACACATCGACCCGTTCCCTAACTCTGATACCATTTGTAACATCTCCCTTTGGCACGTCCCACAATATTCTCCGCTTTGGGCTCCCAGCATTAAAACTTCCAAGGGTTCACCCATAGGGACGAGCATAACCGGGTAACCGCCTATTTTAGTTGGAACCGGAACCGCTCCCGGAACCGGCGGTTCTTAGTTTTTGGGTATTGGAACCGGAACCGCCTACACCGGTTCCTAGAAAATTGAAACCGCTCCCAGAACCGCCGGAACCGGTTCCGGTTCCGGGTACCCGGCTTCTTGATAAATTACATCTTTTATTGTATACATTTCATTGAAATAAACTTTTATAAACAATAGGAGACTAGGACTGTAATATAAAACTAAAATAATCATAAAAACTTGATCTCAAAACACCATGCCAACACAATTGGAATTTATCAAGTAATATAACAAAATGAAAATTTAATGACAATTTTCAGCAATAACAAAAGTCAAAACAGCAATAGCAAAACAACAAACAATTTTTATCAAGTTTCAAAACAGCACAAAAACAACAAAAGAACCACAGCAAAACAGCCAAACAGCAACAGCAAAACAGCACCAACAGCAACCAAAAAACAGCAAAACAGCAAGCAAAACAACACCAAATAGCAACAGCAAAATAGCAAACAGCAACAGCAACAGCAACAGCAGGCAGCAAAAACAGCAACATCCCAACATCAAAAACAACAACTACTTATTCCCTCCATGTGTATCTTCCATATTGCGACTGATTTCTGCAGTGGAAATAAACATAAAAATTCAAATTAGAATATTAAATATTATACAAGAAACATAAAATAAAAGAATAAATAAAAGTGTATCTTCCATATTACCTTCCTCATATTTTTCCACATCTTCCAGTAACTGTTCAAGGTCAATACAAACATTTGATGCCCTTAACCAATCTTGAGTAAAAATCAAAGCTTCCACCGTTTTTGGAAGCAAATTACTACGAAAGTCATCAACCACACGTCCGGATGTACTAAAAGTGGACTCACTAGCAACCGTAGAAACCGGAATGGCTAGAATGTCCTTTGCCATTGATGCTAACACCTTGTATGTTGTGCACTTGTCACTCCACCACTTCAAAATATCAAATGTTTCATTATTCATTTTTTCGGGTGGAGCATCAAGATATTCCTCCAATTCAGATTTTTCCATAGCATCTTCAACATCATTTTCAAAAAACTCATCATATATTTTTCTCATTTGCTTATTCTTAACCACACCATCAAAACTTTGACCATCATTATCATTTGTATTGAAAGAACTAGAACCATCATTCTTGCCCCTTGAAGAAACATTAGAATAATGATTATATAGTTGATTCAAAACCTCAAACACTTGAGAATATAGCTCTTCAACCTTTTTGAAGTCTAAAGGATAGATTTTTCTTAGAGAAAACTTCACAAACCTCATCTTATACCTTGGATCAAGTGCAACCGCAACTAACACCATCACATTTGTTTTTCCAAAGTCTCCATAATATTTGTCAAACTTTTTCCTTATTTGATCACCCATAAGAACAATATTGATATCTTCATCTTGTGTCCACTCCAACAAGGAAGCAAGTACACCTAATATCTCATGATAATGCATATTATCCGTAACATACAAAGTTCCCGACATCCTTTTCGTGGCTTCAAAAAACTGCTTCAAACAAAGAGATAAATTTCTAGCACTTTCCCAATCTTTTTGGGATGGAAATCCATCTTTAAGATCTTTCTCAAATGCGGGGTCTTCTTGTCTCATTCTTTTAAAAGCTCTCTCAAACTTAAGTGTCGTTTCCAACATAATGTAAGTGGCGTTCCACCGTGTTGGTACATCAAGAGATACCGATGCTTTACTCGAAATTTTTGATTTTGAAACACAAGTATCAAACAATTTTGATCTTACTGTAGAGCTCCTAACATATCTAACTGCACCCCTAATCCTAACAATGGCATCTTTAATCAAATCGAGACCATCTTTAACAATCAAGTTTAAAATATGGGTGGCACATCTCATATGGAAAAACTCACCTCCTAAGACAAGTTTATCCATTAGATTATCTTTTATATGAGCAACAACTACATCATTAGCACTTGCATTATCTACAGTGATGCAAGATAACTTCTCTTCAATACCCCAATAAAGAATACAAGATTCTACTTCTTTCCCGATTTCTTTTCCTTTATGACTATCAATATTACGAAAATTCAAAATTCTTTTATGTAATTTCCAATTATCATCAATAAAATGAGCAGTTAAACACATATAACTTAAATTTTGCACAGAAGTCCAACAATCAGTAGTAAGAGCAATCCTAGAATTCAAACTTTTCAAGGCATTTCTCAATTGCTCCGTCTCACAAAGAAACACTTTACTAATATCTCTAGCAACCGTGAAACGTGATGGGATACAAAACTGTGGAACAACAACACTACAAAAATATCTGAACCCGTCACGTTCAACGTATGAAAATGGTTGCTCATCAATGACAATCATTTTTGCTAAAGCAAGCCTGATTGTATTTTGGTTAAATTCCCAATTAGAAACGGTAGTCGCATCACTTTGACTTGTTCTAAAAGTGCTAATTTTCTTTTGTTTTTTTATTTGTATTATCAGGATTCTGTAAACATACAGCAGTATGTTTACCCAAAGATGATGTACCATTTTTTGTAGTAACTGTCAAGATTCTGGAACAATGTTTGGATTGCGCCTTTACAATCTTGCCCGTCTTTGGATCTCTAACATCTGTGTAGTTGCGCCAAGCGTTTGATGTCCTTTTGTCCCCAACTACCGACACTTTGTTTTGCTCAACAGCCTCACTTTCACCATCCAAGTCAACATCAATTCGACTACTTTCCATTGTTGAACCTAAAATTTCAGACAACAAACATAAATCAATAACAACCAAAATATACAATAAACTTTTGAGACCACAAAACACAAAAAAAAAAAAAAAAAATAGTGAATTTCTAAGTATTACATGTCATGTCTATATGAGCTATTAAGCACAATAACTCAATAAATTAAAACAGGGTCTGGCTTGGGTTTAGTTTGAGCTCTTAAACACTCGTTGTTATGCATTTAAGTTGAAAGGATTATTAACTATAAGTTATTTCCTTCCATATACAGGGCACGGGTATCAGTAAATCAAAACACATATACAGGGCACTAAATCAGTAAATCAAAACACATACGTATAAAACTATAAGTTATTTCATTCCATATCCAATGGAAAGTTTATGTTTATTTCACAGAGGCAGGAGTTGAATCAAATTGGACTATATTACCCATCTTGATCTCTGAAAGGTAACAGTTTGACTATTTGAGACTTCGAATCTAACCTTGTAGTTGTAAGCTTACAGCGATGGTCGGCGATTGCATCGGCAATTAGCTTTCTTCGTTCGTCGATTAAACAGACAAAACAACGTGAGCGACTAAGCGGGGGTCTAAGAATCGAATGAGTCCAATGTCTACCTTCGTCTTCTACTAATCTACTCCAGGGAATCAAAGGATTGCGAGACGGGAGATTGGAGTGTCGCTGTGTCGGCACCTTACGAAATACGAAGTTATGATAGCGAGAGGGGAGTGTGACTGTGTGGGTGTTTGCGTTTTTTTGGTGAGAATGAATTCTCAATCACAAATCACAAACCCTAAAAATGATAAGGCAAGAGGAATTTACGCCCCCTTCTTTTTCTAAAATATTAATATTATATTAATATATATATATATATAATTATATATATATATATATATATATATATATATATATATATATATATATATATATTAAAGAGGCGGATACCCGACGGTACCGGTTCCGGGTACCCGGTATTGGAACCGGAACCGGCGGGTATCGGTTTTTAAAAAATGAGAATTGGAACCGGAACCGCTTAAGGCGGTTCTGAGACTTTAGGAACCGGAACCGGAACCGCCTACGGCAGTTCCGGTTCCAGAACCGGCAGTTCTGAGGCGGTTCCGGTTCCGAAAGCAGGTACCCGCTTCCACTGCTCATCCCTAGTTACCCATCCCTAAGTTGCTCTTGTTTGGGCATACTTAACTGCAAAGTTCTTATTGGATCTGATGCCCTCACAGATTTAAAATGTGTTGTGACAGGGAAGGTATACACACCCATTATAAGGAAATGTTTCGTTCTCGTTCTCAGCGTACACAATGTACGCCCAATGTACTACTCTATTGCCTAAAATTACCAAAATGCCACGATGGGGCATTTTGCACTCTTTCTTCTACTCATGGACTAAAATGCAATATTTATTCATACATAGGGTTAAAATTGAAAATATATCAACATAGGGATGTTACAATTCTCCCCCAGTTGAACTAGAATTCATCCTCGAAGTCGGTCGTCGTGAACAAATCAGCATAATGCTCCCGTATCTCTTCCTTCGGCTCCCAGATCCACTCAGAGCCTTTATGATGTTGCCACAGAACATTTATAAAAGGTATCTCCTTGTTGCGCGAGATCTTCATCTTCGTTCCCACTATCGCTACCGGCCTATCAATATAATTTAGGAATTTATCGACCTAAATAAAAATCAAAGGGACCACGACTTCATCATACCACACGCACTTCCGTAACTACAAAACATGGAAAGTGTTGTAAATCTGACTGAGCTTACTCAGCAAATCCAACCAGTAGACTACGTTGCCTACCCTGACGATCATACGGAACGATCCAATATATTGAGGGCCCAATTTTCCCCTCTTCATGAAGCATATCACACCCTTCTAGGGTGAGAACTTCAGTAGTACCATATCACCGACCGGAAATTCCAACTCCGGTCGGCATAACTCTTATGTCAACTTTGAACTATCTGCAGTCTTTGCCTGATTTGCTGAATAAGCTCTATGGTCTAAAGGACTACTTCAATCATTCCCATGAATCTGTGACTAACCTCTCCCCAACACACTAATGTATGACATTTATGACCATACAAGAGCTCAAAAGGCGGGTTACCAATGCTGGAGTGATAATTGTTGTTGTAGGAAAACTTCGCAAGAGGGTAGGTTAGAATTCCAACTCCCACCAAAATCTATGACCTAAGACCGCAACATATCCTCAAATGACCGGAAGGTATGCTCACTTTGATCATCGGTTTGCGGATGATAAGCAGTGTTAAAATATAGCCTCATGGTCAGTTCCTCATGGAAATTCTACCAAAAACGGTAAGTGAACCGAACATCTTGGTCTGATACAATGGAGACCGAAACCCCCATGGCGAGCAACAATCTCCCGAACATATACATCAGCTAAATTTTCGGTCGAGGAGCTCTCCCAGATGGCCAAAAAGTGGGCACTCTTGGCCAATCTATCCACGATGACCCATATAACATCAAATTCCTTGGCAGTCTTCGGTAACTTGGAAATAAAATCCATGGTGATCTGTTTCCACTTCCACATGGGAACCTCCAAAAGTTGCAGCTTACCATGTGGCCTCTGATGCTCGACATTGACATCCTATAGGTCAAGCATCTCTCAACATATCCGTCTATCTTCTTCTTCATACACTACCACCAATAACTAAGTCTCAAATCCCGATACATCTTGGTGGCTCCCCAAGTGTATCGAAAAGCGATACTTATGAGCCTCATCCAAAACCATCTATTTGATCGCACCAGAAAATAGAACCCAAACCCGATCACACCGGGTCAATAATCCCAGACTATTGATGACAAACCTGTCGAACTCACCCCTGATCCTCTCTTGTTTCCAGTTCTCCTTCCTGAATCCTTCTTCTTGTGCCCCTCTGATCAAATCCAAAAATGGGGAATCAATGGATCCTCATACACATATCTCTAGCTGAATACCCCGCCGACTTGCGGCTAAAAGCATCCGCGACTACATTTGTTTTACTCAAATGGTAAAGGATCTCGTAGTCATAATCCTTGACCACGTCAAGCCACCTGCGCCGCTTCATGTTCAGGTTCGACTGGTCTATAAGATGTTGCAAACTCTTGTGATTCATGTAAATGGTACAACAGACCCCATATAGATAATTCCTCAAAATCCTGAGGACAAACACCATTGTCCCCAACTTCAGGTCATGAGTAGGATATCATGCCTCATGCGGCTTCAGTTGCCGAGAAGCATACACAATCACTCGTCCCCTTTGCATAAGAATCGCCACCAAACAAGTGATGGATGTATCACAAAATACCATGCAATCCTCAAAACCCTCCGAAAGGGTCAATACTGAGGCCTCACATAACCCCTGTCGTAGTGTCTTAAATTTCATTTGTTGTTCAGGGCCCCATCAGAAATCCACTCCCTTGTTTGTCAGACGAGTGGGGAGTACAACAATCTTGGAGAAATACTGGACAAATCTTTGATAATATCTCGCTAAACCCAAGAAATTCATGATCTATGAGGGAGATTTCAGAACCTCCCACTGCATCACGACCTCATCTTGGCCGAATATACCAAAATCTCATTTTGATTAACGAGATGTCCCAAGAATTGGACCTCTCGTAACAAAAACTCACACTTCGAGAACTTGGCATACAATCGTTCTCGCCTCAACACTCCCAAAAGCTCTCGAAGGTGCTCTTCATGGTGCTTTCTGTTCTTTGAATACACCAAGATATCATCAATGAACACAATAACTGATCGATTGAGCATCAGCTTGCATACCCGATTCATCAAATCCATAAATACTACATGCGCATTGGTGAGCCCAAATGGCATCACCACGAACTCGTAATGCCTATAACGAGTCCAAGATGCGGTATTCTCTATGTCCTCCTCTCTCACCCTCACCCGATGATACCCCGATCTCAAGTCGATATTGAGAACCAAGACGCACCTTACAACTGATCAAAGAGGTCGTCAATCCGCAAAATAGGATAACGGTTCTTCACTGTCAACTTGTTCAACTCTAGGAAATCAATGCAGACTCG